ACGCACTCATGCACGCACGCACGTACGCAAGCGGACGCACGAACGAACGCACGCAAACACGGGCAAAACGAATCCGATGAATAATCTCCATGGAGGATAGTTCGGTAGGGTTAGGTAGTCATGCACGCCCATCACCATCCCACGTGTCTATATGAGCCGTAAGCTGTAAGGTTCTATAGCTATAAGTGTAAGCTGTAAGATTGTATACGTGCGTGCGCTGCACCTGCGATATGTCACGGCTACCCGCGAAAATTCCGAAGATTGACGGGCAAGTTCATCGGCGTCGTGTTCGCCCACGATCGTCGCAGATCCCTTGTTAATACGCTGTTTCTCCGAAGTATTTGCATAGTATCACACATGATACACAGAGCGTGTTCTTTTGAGAGTCTTGCTCGTTGGGCTGTGTGTCTGGTTTTTCTGAAACCGGCTTGGTGCGTCTGCCTCTAGGACATGTGTAGAACTAGTTTAGTTCGAAGGAGTGCCAGAAGATAATGTCTTATATTTACACTCACGACTAAGATTTTCTTCTAGTTTGCGCACACACTGGCAATTGCGGATCCAGACTTTTGCATATATAATTATCATCTCATTGTACAATGGGTGTGTAATGTGCAAGCGGTAATCTATTGCCTTCGCTTAAGGTAACTACTACAGTATTATCTACGTCTAACACAATATTTCTGCTCGTTCGCCCCTAGTATTACAACATGTTCTGTTAGCATCTATGACAAATACGACATACACATATACGCTCTCCTATGACACTATTTGTCATAGGAAGATTCTTCCTATGTTAAATATTGGCGAGTCAACTTCGTTCCGCTTTACAGCTGAAATTCACTGCTTGCATTCATAATAGCGCTCCTAAACTCCTATGATGCGCACAACACACACAACAATATTTGTCATAAGAAGAATCTTCCTATGACAAATAGTGTCATAGGAGAGCGTATATGCGTATGTCGTATTTCTCATAGATGCTAGCAGAACAGGCTGAGTATTAATTACGTCGTATTGTGCGTAAATCGTAATGGCACGTAGTTGTTACTCGATGGAGAGACGATCGCTGTATAAGTGGTATCACACCCGCTTCCTGTATCATTGCGTGTAAAAGACTTGGGACGTGATGTACGCCCTACATTTGTTTCGTACGGCGTGGGCGAGGGGCGCGGGTGTGTGCAGCGCTCCACCTAGCTAACGGAGCTCTCTCTCTCTCTCTCTCTCTCTCGCTCTCTCTCTCTCTCGTTGCGCGAGTCAGTCATTAGGGGAAAGATGAAAGACTTCGCCTCGGGGCTGCGTCGTCACTCATCACATGCTTGGAATTTTGGCTTTACTACTAGGCCAAGTTACCTGGCACGCCCGCTCGTGGAGCTGACTGTTGCTTGCGCCGGTAGGCCTGTATCAAATTTTGACGTTATTTCGCCCGTTTAAGTACAATAAGTATCTTATTACTGTGGCGCCCGCAGAATTAAAGCGGGTAGGTCATCCTAAATTGTGTTTTGATGCTAAAATCACGTCCGTTAAATGGACTACGTCACGAATATGCTGAAGGTTATAGTTGTAACGTTATTATACTATTTATACTAAACATACTATTTCCTGGTTCTACTTATACTGACGTTGTCCATTTAAGTACAGCGTCGAAACTAACGCAAGCTGCATTCTTAGTTCTATTTTTCCCTATCGGATTACAGTGTCACATACGTCCAATTTTTAACGTCATTATCCACGAATTCCTATACGCCCCAAGCACACATCCGCCTTCTTTGTCCAGCCTAAAAATTCAAATAAGTCGAGTTTTACATTTTTTTTCAGACCATCCCAGGAAGCTTCCTGCCATTCGTCCAGGAATACATTTCCCGTTGATAAAATACTTCAGCTTTACGCGAAGCGTAGTTTTATAGCGTCAACTCGCAACAACAAACATGTTAAAATCTGCTACTCTGAGTTTAGTATGTGACCTAGTCATACTGGGACACGCTCCAGACGATCTTAGCATGGCTGTTAATGCTCTTGGGTAGTGAGTGATAACAAGGCGCAGTGTGCTCGGTAGGGCGTGGCCGTAACTTACGATGTGTGATGTGGCGGGTAGCGATGCGAGGCAACGTGGAAGCGACGACACGCACGTAGCATGCACGTGAATGCTGCTGCTGTGTTTCGTACCTCACATGTGTGTACTGTGCGTGCATGTGTGTGTGTGTGTGTGTGTGTGTGTGTGTGTGTGTGCGCGCGCGCGCGCGTGCGTGCGTGCGTGTGTGTGTGTGTGGTGGTGGTGGGTGGGG